ACAGTATATTGTTGATCAGTATGCTAAAATAGAACAAAATCGTTTAATTTACCTTAAGCATAATCAAAAATCACTTCACACTGAATTTTATCAAGGTATTATCGACGCAGTACATGCTGGAGATTGTAGTAACACTGTTGGTCGTCATATAATCCTTCCATCCTCTTTTATCAGTTATATCAGGATGCGATGGCAATTATTACTTACTTTGGAAAACCAGATCTTTTTGTCACATTTACATGTAATCCTAAATGGCCAGAAGTTACCAGAGAATTGTTATCTCATCAAAACGCTGCTGATAAGCCCGATTTAACAACCTGGGTGTTTCATGTAAAATTACAAACACTTTTAAAAGATTTGTGTAAAAATCATTGGCTTGGTAAAGTTATTGCATACATATACGTAGTAGAATTCCAAAAATGTGGTCTTCGCCATGTGCATATTCTATTAATCCTTGCCTCAGATAACAAGTTACGAACAACAGAAAATTATGACTCTATTGTCTCAGCTGAAATCCCTGACATTCGTATATATTCTCTTGCCTATGAGACAGTAACAACCATGATGATACATGGTTCGTGTGGTTTACTAAACCCTAATGCACTATGTATGAAAGACGGTGTATGTACAAAACATTATCCTAAAACTTTTCAAGAGCGTACCATGGAAAGTAATAATGGATACCCTATTTACCGCAGACGAAATAATGCAAGTTTTGTTAAAGATGGAATCCAATTAGACAATACATGGGTTGTATTGCATAATATCAAATTATGCACAAAATACAATGCTCATATTAACATTGAAATTTGCAGTTTTATAACGGCTGTTAAATACCTATATAAATACATATACAAAGAACATGATCGAGCGACCATTACGTTTGCCCATTCCAACTAAGCAGATAATCAACAACTTTCACCCGAAGTTGCCCAGATTGATGAAATAAAAATATACTTAGATGCAAGATATGTTTTAGCTTCGGAATCTATCTGGAGAATTTTTCATTATAAATTGCATAGATGTGATCCAAAAGTACAGAGGCTTGCTGTGCATCTCGATGGACGTCATAATGTTACATTTCAAGATGAAGAGAATCTTCAGAATGTCGCCAACCGTAATCAAAATCATATAACAACCTTGACTGCTTGGTTTCAAAAGAATATAGAAAACTCGATAGCACATATATATACCTACGTTGATTTTCCTTCTTATTATACTTGGAATTCTTCACGCTGTAAATGGACACCTAGAAAAACATCAACGACTATGATTGGGCGACTTTACATGGTACAACCTTCTGAAGGCGAGAGATATTATCTACAAACTTTACTTACCCATGTAAAAGGTGCGATCGGCTTCGATAACCTAAAAACTATCAACAGCTATACGTGCAATAACTTCAAAGAAGTTTGCTCTTATCTTGGTCTTCTTCAGAATGATACTGAATGGGATGCCTGTTTGCTTGAAGCAAGTGCTGTACAGACAGGACACCAACTTCAACAGCTTTTTGCAACCATACTTCTATTTTGCCAACTGGTGAAACCTGAATTGTTATGGGATAATCATAAAGTAGCGTTGTGTGAGGATATTTTATATCAAGCTCATGTACAATTACAAGATCTCGATGATGCGAGTGATATTCCTACTGTAATTGAACATGAAGCCCTTACTCAATTGGAAAATATACTTTTACTAAGTGGAAAATCTCTAAAAGATTTTCCCGATATGCCAATTCCCCCTATCACTTCAAATATCAGTAATAATGAAGAAACATTAAATCATCTAATACGTGAAGAGAGATCCTATAATATAACAAACTTACAAGCCGAATTACAACCAACGTACCTTTGTTAAATGATGATCAACGTGCAGTGTTTGATGCCGTTACAAGAGCAATTAACAATGAAGAAGGAGAATGTTTTTTTGTAGATAGACCAGGTGGTATGGGAAAAACTTTTTTATATAACACTTTACTAGCAAGTATTAGATCACGTCGCCACATTGCTTTGGCAGTAGCCTCTTCAGAAATCGCAACACTTTTAATAAAAGGTGGACGAACAGCCCATAGTCGATTCAAAATTCTACTTAAATCTAATGAATCTTCTACGTGTAATATTTCACGAAACAGCAAAGAAGCTCATTTAATCAGCATCACAAACCTTATTATCTGGGACGAGGCTCCGATGACTAATAAGTTTGCATTTGAAGCCCTTGATCGTACATTTCGAGACATTATGCAAGTAGATAAACCATTTGGGGGAAAGGTCATTGTTTTTGGTAGTGATTTTTGTCAAGTACTACCTGTTGTACCACATGGTTCGCACGCAGATATCGTTTCAGCTAGCTTACCCCGCTCTTCATTATGGATACATATGAAAGTCATGAAATTAACAATTAACATGAGACTGCAGCGAACTAATGATATTAATGAGAATCGGAAGCAAAGAGAATTTGCCGAGTTCCTTTTACAAATAGGAGACAGAACTTACCTGATCATTGCAAACACAGAAAATAGAATAACACTCCCTTTTGATATAGTCGTAGCTGGTGGAATATTATCAGATCTTATTAATTCTGTTTATCCGAATTTCATCCAAAACTCGAATAATATTAATTACTTAACTGAAAGAGC